TTGTCAGGTAGCCAACCACTTTAAGCTACTGAAACCATTCCCTAGTGAGAGCATACTTACGTATTACATATTTAATGTTCCTCAAAGGAGAAAAAAGCTGCAACCCCCCCCCCCCCCCCACCTCCCCAGCTAGTTATGATGTGTTCTACCTTGTGTGCAGATACAGGGGGTCGATGTAGGGTTACAGCCATGTCTTTCAGTAAGAGGAAACGTCGGGCTCTGATCGTCATGATGCTTGTAGGCAGGGTGCAGGGAGGAAGACTTCTGCTTTACTTTTACTGACTTAGGACACTGTTTGTTTATGCTGTTCTACCAGTTGTTAGAATGGGCAACTCCTAAACTCCCACCTTTTCTTGAAACTTTGTGCTGTTCATGAGTACGTTCTATAAACACCTTACTGCTCTTGTACACTACAGGTGGACGAGGGGATGTAAGCAGAAAATGTATTTTAAGAAGTTTTACGCCTCGTTTGGCACTATTTAGACCTTTCAGTAGGGCCAACCCAGGCTGAGAGGAATACATTATCCCAGTAGAAAGACATAATATTCGATTTAAAAAAATATCGTGGGGTCGGTGGCCTAGTGGTTAGGCTCTCGGACTCGCAACCGTAAGGTCATGGGTTCGAATCCCGTCAAGGGCCCGACGTTGTGTCCTTGGGAAAGACACTTTACACGAATTTTCTTCACTTCACCCAGGTGGGAATGGGTATCCGGCTATAGACAGCGAAAGATCTTGTCAGTTTGTTAGTGTTTGAGCGCTTAATCGGCTGCTTGCACTGTATGCTTCCCGGGAAGCTGAGAATGTTTCGGAGTGTTCAATGGTCTGCTGGGGTAATAATATAGTGTAAAGCGCATAGAGCCTGCTGTTGAGCGGGGATATGCGTTATACAAATGCTATCTATTATTATTATTATTATTATTATTATTATTATTATTATTATTATTATTATTATTATTATTTTCACACAGAAATCGAACCCATGTCTTCTGCGTGCGATGACAAAGCCCCTCAGCGATACACCACTGACGTTGGTCGATATAAACAGTTGTCTGTCTCATCAACAAAGGGCTTTGCGTACTATAAATATACCGTAGCTTTTTGGTGATGGGATGGCATTGTTTATTTATAATACTTTTTGGGGGGCTCTCGGGGAGTACAGAAAAGAAAAGGAAAAAACCCATTGAAAACTAGGAAAGACAATATATCAAACTCCCCTAATATTACTCGTACATAAACACCCACCTGACGATTCGATCTACTGTCATCCAGACCATAGCCTAGCTTGATATCAACCAAGCTAACTTAGCAGACATGAGGAGAGCAGGTCATTCCTCAGTTTGAGGTAGCTATTTCTGCAGGATTGCTGACAAGATTACTTGACTCGCATGAAAGAAATTGTGGTATAAAGGGGCTCATACTCTCATAAGTTAGTTTCCCACGCTCATAAAACGAAGACTATTTGAAAAAGTGATTTGACATTTTGCACTACATAGCTATAATCTTATGTTAATGCACTTTTTCACTCGACATAACCAACCATCAGATACACTTCAATGGTTTAAATGATATATATTATGTCTGTCAGCCATCTGGATGATGCCCAAAAACAGCAAATACGGCACATGGCCCCGCTCCGGAGAAATCGACATCATGGAATCCAGAGGTAGGTCATGATGTCCGTGGTTTGTTCCTTAGTTAACGTTTGTTCCTTAGTTAATGAATTGAATTCCTTTCTCCTCAAGCTCAACGGTATTTGTTACATTACAGATGGTACCAGTGTAAGTAAAGTAAGACTTGGGCAAGAGGATTTATATTATCCTCAGCTATACTATCAGGGTCTATCTGTCTGTCTGTCTGTCTGTCTGTCTGTCTGTCTGTCTGTCTGTCTGTCTGTCTGTCTGTCTGCCCGTCTTTCTCTCAATCCTTCTTTTGTGTGTGTGTGAGTGTGTGTGTGTGTGTGTGTGTGTGTGTGTGTGTGTGTGTGTGTCTGTCTGTGTGTGTCTGTGTGTCTGTGTGTGTAAGAAATAATCTAAATTTAGGTGATTTTACGCCCCCATTGACACACTTTAGATCATTTAGGAGGCAGGCTTTAACCCTCCCTATCAGGGTCAACTCGGACTGAGAGGGATACAATATCCCAGCAGAAAGATCCAGATACTCGATGAAAGTTCTCTTCACTCAGCATTCCAACTCGGGTCTCCTGCAAGCGACAACAAAACGCCTAACTGCTACACCACAGATGCTGGTAACAGGAGAGGGAGAACGAGACAGACAGACGCACAGA